CTTTCTTTGGTTGACACGACGGGCTCGCGTGTTCAGAGCCTTCAGCCGAATTGGGCTAGAAATCGCGAGTTTAGAACTCTTGTCCGCCTCTCTTCTTTCCTGTCTGTAACCGCAACTCAAGCAAGTTTTCCAGCCTGCACCGCAACCATCTTCGGTGTAAGTAAACAATCTTTAAATCTACCGCTACGAGTCCGTGCCTAATTCTAGCTTGTCGCGCCCCTCTCTCCGACCCCTCATGCCCGGGCTGCTGGCCACAGTCCGCGTGCAGCACGAAAAAGGGCCCGGCTCGCACCCGGCCCTCACAGTACAAAAGAACATGGGAAACAGAAGAGAGATTGAGTAGAGGGTGGTGGGGTAGAAAGTCAGTGGAGGGGAAAATGGAAATATGGTGTTGCAGGGGAAAGGACAAAGGCTGTCAAAGGAACGTGGACTCCAGCTCACCCCAAGAGAGGTATAAGGGAAGACAGAATAGTTTGAGGGAGGGAATGAGACAAAGAAAAAAACAATGCACTCTCTGGAGGTAAGGATGCATTTCATATATACATAATATTAAATTCTGAGTCTAAAGTTATCGCAAACAAATGACAAATCAGGGACATACATTTTGCCCAAGCCTACTCCCTTCCTTCCTGAAGGGTTCAAATACCAGAGGGCAGATCAAGAAAATAATGTTGAAATTAATAAAAAAAAATGAGTCTCATGTGTTTTGTGGCTTGATTTATAATTTCTGAACACTTGCTATACTGCTATAACAGAAGAGGAAACTTCTTGGAGAGGGGAGGTAGACCCAGCTATCACTACCCCTTTTATGACTACCTCTCTTTGTCTCACTAGGCTAAAACTTGACCTCCTTTCAGCACCACATCCCCTATTGAATCCACCTCACATGTTAAAAACAGAACAGTCGCTAATGTCTTGCCTGCCCTAGTCCTTTTCTTTAAACAGCCCTTCTACTGCTGGAACTGTTTGGCTGTAAGCAATGGTGGGAACTTTAAAAAAGGCTAATATAGAGACCCACAAAGTGATAAATATCAGAGAACTAGTCAGTATTGATGATTTCTCTTTTGCTATAAAAAAAAGCAATATGGAGTGGTTAGAGAGCCATTTCCCAAAAGAACTAGCAAAGTTGTCACAGTTACAAACGGCTACTTCTGCTGGATGACTTGAGTTGAAGATGAGGTTTATAGATTGCTCCTAAAGCCTGGGACATGCAGGAGATGACTGGTTTCAGTACAGAAAATGACATCTGAAAGGAGAAACCTGTCATAGTCTACAGCAAGTTACAGCAAGTAGGGGCAAGAGGAAGGTGGGATGACTCTCAGCGAGAATGATGGTCCTTTTACACTCAACTCAGTGAAAAACTAAGAGGTATGTACAACCTCGGATGTACAATAGATCATTTTTAGCTAAAAAAATACAATTAAATCGAACTAGGCATAGCAGCATAACTGATGTTATTAAAACAACTGAGCTATAAATATAACAGAAATTATTGGCAGAACAGGGACTCTGAGGGTCAGATATGTGGATCATGAGACCTTTCTTTTAGTCAGATATACAAGGTTAGATCTTTGCTACAGATACTTAAATTTGATTTCTATAGGCCTGTGTGTGTACTGAAATGAGAGACAATCAAGCAAGTGTATGGATCTATACTAGAATTTAGCCTATAGAATGGATACAATTAAAATGTACTTTTATTAAATCAAACAAGTCAAATATGAACCCAGAATATAATACAATGAGTAGTAATTTTAGGGAAAAGATTTTAAAAAAGGAAACAGCAAACACATGGAAAAAATAAAATGCATACCTAATAATTCAAGAGGAAAGAAATGTTAATTGAAAAGAATGGTATTCTTGGAAATGACAGTGGAATTTTAGAGGTGGAAGCTAAACAAAGGGAACAAATAATAAAATAAACCCCTGTTGGTATTTTTGTTTCCGAGATTAGGGGTCTATAACAGAAATCAGCTCAGCAAAGACAGGAGTTTGACCAGCATATTATTTGATTTTAGTAGTAAAAGGCTAGAAAGTCTCCATGTTGCCAAGGTGTCAAGACTTGTGCACACTGTGCATCCAAGAGGAATAACAGGAGTAGGGGACAGAAACTGAAGAAGCATTAGCTGACATTTTCAAAACCTGACTTACTGCATCTCCAAAGGCTGGGAAAAAGCAATGTGAGGGAGTGGTGACACACCAGGAAATTAGAGGCCAGGTAGTTCACTTCCAGTTGTAGAGAAAACATTTGAAGCTGCTTTAGAAGATCAAAAGGTGTAACATTTACTGTATTCAAAGCACGGCCTGGTTAAGAGTAGCCGACACTGTTTCAAGGAAGGCGTATCATGCCTCACTGACTTACTGGAATTCTCTGAGGATTGTTCGGTCGGATAAGATGCAAGTGCAGTGAAGTGGACATCACTTTTTGTAAAAAATATGCCTTCTCTCAATTTCTACACTGAAAGATAATGTGTAAGGCGAGAAACCACTGACTATTAGTAGAAAATCTGCCTGATTGGATTCTCTAGTAGGCAACCTTTGATCCTCTGCATCATAGTGTACACATAAGACAGAGATGAGCAAATATGGCCTGTGGGCTGGATCTGGCCTGACAATTGATTGTATCCTGCTTGTATCTGCCTCTGCGGAACTGTGTATGGGGCCAAGCCCTGCTCACTCCTGCCTGGGGCAGACTGTACCTACTCCATGGCCCGTACCTACCCTATAGCCAGTGCGCACAACTTCCCAGTGGGGCTACTTTCCATCCACTCATTGCCTGCAGGTGGCTGGTCATCACACTGAGAGGGCAGAGTGGGTGGAAAGTAGCCAGGAGCTGGGGCTGGAGCTACGTGCACTGATGCAGGAGCCACCCAGCTATACCTTCCCCCCTGCTTGGCTGAGCATGTGGTGTCTGGCATGTGCTCCCATGGCTGCCACCACTTCCCCATGCTACCTGCTGTCCAGAGTGGCATAGCAGGGGCAGGAGGAGGAGGAGGAGGAGCCACTGGAGGTGGGGGGAGGTGAGCAGTACCTGGGCAACTGCAGCAGCACTAGAAGCAGCCCCACTGGGAAGCTGTATGTGTTGGCCAGGTCTTAGACTAGAGCAGTGCTCTTGGTGGGTGTGAGCCAGGTGCAGGTGGGAGTGCAGCACAGGCTGCCCCAGGCAGAAGCAAGTGGAGCTCGGCCACATATGGAGTGCTGAAGGGGTAGCTGCGGGCCGGATGTGGGGTGGCAGACTGCACCTGCACTATACTACCTGCTGTATGCGGCCCCTGTCCCCCTCTCTTCCTAGTGGGAGCCTGGGACCTAGCGTGCAGGCAGCCCCCAACCCCTCTCACCACCCCCACACCCCCCACCTTCCCATATAATATATAAGAGTAAGACTTTATTTGGGGCTATTATGCAATCATCTCTATGTATACTACCAAAAAACCCCATAAACAAAATTAAAATATACTACAGTAGATGTTTGATTTTTAATATATGATTTGGGTTTTTTTATCTATAATTTGTTAAAATGATGTCTTTTGAAGGATTTTATGTGTGTGGCCCCCTATAGCTCACCAAAACTCATTCAGTGTTCCATCAGCCAATATAATTGTATACCCTTGGTATAAGAGGTATAGTCAGGTGCCTGATTAATCTGCTTGTACAGAGTTTTGTGATCATCACACCAAGACCTTTGACACATTTGACTAGGCAAGAGTATGGAGGAGTGGAGACTGCCCAAGACCTCCCATCCCCGCCTTAGATCACAGAGACAGAATCCAAAGGCCAGGCGGAGTCTGGACATTTAGTGTCTCAATGGCTGTAGCTTCTGCCAGAGAGCAACAGATAAGAAGTGCTGCTGACTGCATAATGCCTCAGTTAGGGTGTGTTTCTGTCAGGGTGATGTTCCTTAGCCTTTCTCCAACCAAGGATTACCCACAAGGCAGTGGAGGCTAGGGTTTTGAGGTGCCTTATACTCACCTTATTCTGGAGGTTGCAACATTGGGGTATTTTATAGGAGCAACCCTGCCATGAGTAGCTCAACCATGTTGCCACCTGGTCCTGCAGTTGAATGCAATTTAAGGTCATACCCAGGACCACCTGATTGGATTACAAGATGTCTAAACATGGGACTTTCTCAGGCTACAGCAATGGAATGGGGATGTCACAGCATCAGCTATGCATTTGTTTTTTATACTCAACACAGGATTCATTTACAAATGTAAAAGTGCATAGAGTTTATAAATCATGAGGTGGGAAGGATACTAAGCAATCAAGGAATATGTCACAGAGGCCTCCTCTAATAGTGTGCATGGAAAAGCATGGGGCCAGGATCTATACTGTTACTAGATATCTGAGTCCGGGGGGTGAGTCCAAAGGGGGTGCACTGCTGCAGGTGCACCCCTCTTTCAGTCACTGATACTGTGCATGCAACATCCAGGGGCTTCTTTTGAATCCCAGAATCAGGTAAGAATCCCACTCTCACTTCCCCTCCAGTCTCAGTGGCACTTTCCCTTCCCTTCCCTCTCTCCTACCCACAGCTGCCACTGGCTCCAGGTGCTCTGGGGGTGGAGTGGAGGGAGACTCCAGAGCTGCTCCTACCTGCTCCAGCTGAGCTCCACAAGGAGGTAGGCTCAGTTAGGGGCAGGGGAAGTGGCAGTGGCAGGAGAGTTTCTCCTCCCTGCCAGTCTGGGAGCAGGTGCCAGAGAAAGGAACCTGCTGCTGCCAAGCCTGACTCCTGTGCAGCTCAGCAACTTATGAGACCTTGTTGTGCAATAAGTATTAGTAAAAAGCCTAAATAAAATGTGTATTCTGATAAAATGTATTAAAGCTGTTGGTAACACACATTTACACCCTAATCTCCCAATGTAATTCGTGTAGGTAGGCCCACATGAATATTTAGACACCTGTTAATTTCTATGAGACCCTGCATAAGTACAGGGGTCTGCTTGTCCAAACCAGACTACTTCATATATTTTAAGACAATGTATGGCACAAAAGGAGAAACTTACCTGTTCAAGTCACGATGTATGATTGGTTGTGTAAGATTATGAAGATACTCCATACCTTTGGCAACATCTACAGCAATGATTAATTTAGACTGCAAGTCAAGATTCCTAGGTTTAAAACAGATCATAATACAGGTCAAAATGGAGAGAGAGAAGGTAAATTTACTAAAAATACCATCATAAGGAACATATCATTCTATGAACTACAAAACAATCTGGGAGTTATGTTACCTGCAGATCTGAGCTTCCTTTTTATTTGGGTTAATGTAATTTAAATAAAAAACCTCCCCAAGTAATAACAACAACTGCTAGTTTTGTGTTTAATTGCTAATTTTCCTTGTATAACAAATAATGTGGATTAAAACAATCATTTGATCATGTATATTAATTTCAATACTTCTTACACTGAATTGGATAATGAATATTTGCATTAACAGGGTACCAATAACCTTAAGAATTATTTGCCACAGAGAGTTAAGAGAATACCTCTTCTGTTCGTGTAGTAGGGAAAAAAGTGATCCTCCAGAAATATATTGTGTAACTATAGCAAATTGACTTGGGTCATCTAAGCAAGCACCAACGAACTGGATGACACAAGGATGATTTAGTCGGCAGAGAATAGAAACTTCACGGCAAAACATGTCTACATCCGATTTGGAACAGTAGGTATTGGCTCGGTAGCTGATAATTGACAGAAGGAGAAATAAGTCAGTCAGAAGTAGCATAAAAATGATATGAGATGATATGAATTTGTTGTACTTTAAAATAAGGTACTAACATTAAATTGTAAAGTCTCTGGCAACTTACCGTTTGATTGCTACTATTTTATTTCTGCATCGCCCTTTATAGACTTTTCCAAACGACCCTAAAATGATTTAAAATAAATAAGCACAAAGATATTTTTTTGTGAGCATCAAACATTTAAAATGAACACATTTACTTTCCAGTACCTGAGCCAATAATCTCATGGAACTCTATTTCAGAGAGCTGAAGATGGAAATGGGATGGTAAACCTGCACGGAGGAGAAGAACATCTGCCTTTTCTGCAAAAGAAAATTGTTATCCTATTTGTAAAATGCAGGAAAAGAAATAAAAGCACTTAACTTGACAAAAGACATTACACAGTAAGAAATGATTTTCCTACTGTAAATTGGTTGACTGGTAATCCTATTCCTCTTTGTTTAGTACCTGCCATAAAACTCAATAATAAACAAAGATTTGCAACATTACAGCTGCCTGAGGGTTTCTTGCCTTTGAAACCTTATCACTGATGAACACTGTCCCATAACCATACTCTGTGTGGACCATGTGATGTTTTCAGAAAACATTTTATGTAAGAAATTAATTCCATATTCTGTATATGCAGCACTCACTACAAATGTTATGGACTTTATTCTGGATCTAATCCTCTTCTCAGTAACATTTGGAATCTGAACTCCGATGTCTCACTAAATTTATACATCCTGTTGCTGAGCGGTGTGGGTTCCAAGTGAACGTTATCCGGCTTTTTCTAAAGGGAACGCTCAAACGTATATAATGACTGTATGGAAAAGTAGCTCTTGGCTACTCCACAGCTAACCTTTCAAGTAGAAAATCAAAAAGATCTCAAAACATGAAATATTTTAAGTACACAGATGCAGCAGAATTATTTTTCTACATTTACTTCAATGCCACAGAATTGATTGTTTTCTGGCATTTTCCCCACAAAGGCATCCCCAAACATTTAACAATGAACTTCACTCTAATACTCCCACCCGTGTATCCATGTTTATTACATTTGTATTAATTTGTATTAATTACAAATGTACCCGATGATTGGAAGAAAGCCAATGTGGTGCCTATCTTCAAAAAAGGGAGGAAAGTAGATCTGGCAAACTACAGACCCATCAGCCTGACCTCTATCCTGGGGAAGGTCTTGGAAAAGATTATCAAAGAGGCCATCCTATACAGGCTAGCTGACGGCAATATCCTGAGGGATACCCAACACGGGTTTGTTGCAGGTAGGTCTTGCTTGACCAATCTCATTTCCTTTTACGACCAGGTGACCTATCACCTGGACAAGGAGGAAGAGATTGATGTCATATATCTTGACTTTAAAAAAGCCTTTGATCTGGTATCCCATGATCACCTCTTGGCAAAACTGGCTAACTGCAGCCTCGACCTCACCACAATCCGCTGGCTGGGGAATTGGCTCTGCGGCAGGACCCAGAGGGTGGTAGTTGATGGAAATCAATCGTCGTGGTGCGCTATGACCAGTGGGGTCCCTCAAGGCTCTGTCCTAGGGCCTTTACTTTTTAAGATCTTCATCAATGATGTAGACATTGGTGTCAGAAGCAGACTGGCCAAGTTCATCGATGACACCAAACTCTGGGGTAAAGCATCCACACCTGAGGACAGGAGGGTGATCCAGGCAGATCTTGACAGGCTCAGGAAATGGGCGCATGAGAACCTGATGGTGTTCAACACCGAAAAATGCAAGGTTCTCCACCTTGGGAGGAAAAACCTGCAGCACGCTTTATAGGCTTGGCAGTGCTATGCTGGTTAGCACTACAGATGAAAGGGACTTGTGGGGGTCATGATTGACCACAAGATGACTGACCACACCTTCAGTGTGATACTGCAGCTAGTAAAACAAGCAAACTGCTGGCTTGCATCCATAGATGCTTCTCAAGCAAATCCTGGGACATCATTCTCCCGTTGTACTTGGCCTTGGTGAGGTCGTAGCTGGAGTACTGCCTCCAAGTTTTGGGCTCCACAGTTCAAAAAGCTTGAGAGAGTCCAGAGGAGAGCCATGCGCATGATCAGAGGTCAGGAAAACAGACCTTATGATGAGAGGCTGAGAGCTATGGGACTCTTCAGCCTGGAAAAGCGCAGGCTAAGGGGTGATCTGGTGGCCACCTATAGTTTATCAGGGGTGCTCACCAGGATCTGGGGGAATATCTGTTCACCAGAGCACCCCAAGGGATGGCAAGATTGAATGGTCACAAACTCTTCTGCGACCGTTTCGAGCAGGACATAAGGAAGAACTTCTTCAGTGTCTGAGCCCCCAAGGTCTGGAATAGACTGCTGCTGGAGGCGGGTCAAGCACCTACTTTGAACGCCTTCAAGACACTTTCGGATGTTTATCTTCCTGGGATCCTATGATCCCTGCTGACTTCCTGCCCCTGGGCAGGGGGCTGGACTCGATGATCCTCCGGGGTCCCTTCCAGCCTGAATGTCTATGAAATCTATGAAATTACATGACTCGCAATTCTTCTCAGAACAAGAGAATATACTTTGAATCTTAATAAACTTTGAATTTCTCACGGAATCTATAAGCAAAAAAAAACTAAATTCAACCTAGAAAACATGGGGTTTTGTTAGTGCCAAGTGTGCTTCATCTGTAAATCCACTAAAGGTGGCAAGAAATCAGGATAAATCAACTGCTTTCTAAAACTACGGCAGAGGTATACAGCTCCTGTTTGTTCATATTTTCTTGACATTTCTAGATCAGAAAGTCAGATTAAAATTAATCATGTGCAGTATATTCAGGATGATAAACAGCTTTAGGGATGGAGTATAAAACTTGGGGTTTCCCCTTGCCATTAAAATTACCTTTAGTCATGCTTTTAATCTTCCCTAGAGGGGATGGAACAGAAACGTAGGAACCATCTGAAATCAAAGAAGAGAATGAAGTTTATAGACTTTGAAGACAGTATGAACATTGATAAGGAAGCGAGGCAATGTTTACTTAAAGTGTGAAGGGAATGTGAGCAGAAGAAAACATTTTTAAAATCTTGATGGGATTGTGAGTTTGTACTTTTGAAGACATGAGCTCTGCATACTGCACTAGATACTTAACTTGTGAAAACTGATATATTTCCATTGAAATCCCTTGAGCTACTCTGATTCACACCAGCAGAAGATCTAGTTCTATCTGTCCAATTATGTGGTGAAGTTTCAAAGGAACTGGGGTTAAATTTCCAAAGTGTTCACCACCCAGCAACTTCCACTGCAGCATTCACTAATGTGCCACAGGTGTTGGCCCCTGGCTGCAGATCTGGGAGGAGCTGGGCAGGGTCAGTTTGCCCCAAGTGGCACAATTTGCCCCACTCCAAAGTGCATGTTCAGGCACATGTGCTGAGGCACAAATCTACAGCACAAATTTGTGCTACTGTTATTTGAACTGCTGCAAGCGCATGTGCCTGCATGTGCGGATGCACCCAAGGGGTGTAGTTTATTCTCCTCAGAAAGCTGGAACTTATACATTGTGATTCACCTACCATTATCTCTGTGAATAGTGTTCCAAACACCATAAATATCTTTTGTGACCTTATCCTATAGCTGATAGGAGTAAATGTTCTTCTTCCCATTTGTTATTTAGTTATCAAAAAACAGTATTTTTTTTGTAAAAAAAAGAAAAAAGAAAAAAAAGCAGTAATTAATCCTTTACATGGGGAAATTAAGCAGCTAAAGACATGCAAAATGTGAATACAAAAACATCCTTCACATCAATAATAAAAGAAGTATCAAAGGAAGGCAACACAAAGGGAATAACTAAACAAAGTATTAACTATGTAGAAAAGTATGTGTAATGATCATTAAGGAATGATCTTCATTTCTTAGCTTAGTTTTTGTTTTTAAAGTGTAGCATTAAGTGACAAGACCATTTTAGATAAAGGGGAAGGTTTGACGCTAATCAGTGATGTATGTTACCTGAAAAATAGGGATTCTTATGCTGTAATTTATCTTCAAATTTAAATTTATAGTATTGGGCCAAAGCTCAGAGAAACTTCAGTGGGATTTGGTCAGATCCTTCACATATAATGTGATTAGTTTATCAAACCATACCTCCTCCAGGCTGGGAGTATTCATTACAAGGTGACTCATCCTGGGGTCTTTTATAATGCTTCAAAAGGGTCACAATGGCATCATGTCCTGACCAAAAAAAAAGGAAGGGAGGTGGTGATGTATAACTGCCATCAATTTACATATTCAACACAATGATCATTACTTATTTATTTTTACTAAATTAGGAGTTTATTCTAAAATATACTGTGTGTCTATTTATGAAAAAATATAAGGAGACAAACTCAATTTGCATTAACAAAGTACTAGTATTAGGCAACTAAGTGGTCCTTAGGCATTATACTCTGCCCAAGTCCCTGAAAAATGGTTATTGCAAAAGGTGGATGGGTCTTTCCCCTTGCTGCTTTTTGTGACTTAATCTTAAGGCTAAGATGAAGGCATACTTCAAAAGTATGCCTTAAGCATACTATCATGGACTTAAGCAGTGTGGAAGAGAATTGTACTTAGAGGCTTAGCTGCTTGAGTGCCACTGAGATGCTGAACTGATGGAATAAATTCTAGCCCAAAATGTTTATTGATAGTAATCAGAAATACATGTTTTTGAGGAAGCACCTGCCAATAAAAAGAATCAGTTTGTGACATGCCTTGACCCCAGATGTGGTCAGGTGTACCTTTGAGATACGTCTGCAGTACTCTCATACTTTCAAGGGAGTCCTTTAGCTCCAAACCCGCGCTCTGCTGTCTGCAGTCTGCTACTTGACCCCTGAGAACAGACTGCTGCTCTAAATGCCACCTTTCTGACCTATGCTGTACCCATCTCACTCAGATGAGACGGGTAGCTCTTAGCAGAGGGAGATTCTGTCAGCTAGAAGAATCACACTCTCATCCAGTCGTGCATTCAGGAAAGAAGGACCTCACCCCTTGCTGGAAAAAGCCTGTATGGTCAAGGCTCCAAAATCCCAATTAACACTGACAATAAGAAGATAGCAAAAAGATTTATTACAAAAACTAAAACAAGCATAGAAATCAGCATATGTTGAGGCAGACAGAGATATAAGAATAAGCAAACAAAAGTAAATATCAGAACAATAATCTGTTTGTACCTTGTATCTTAAATCCAAGACTGTAGTTCCTACCCAGTTCAACAGGTTAGAAAGCAGCTTCTGGCTCTGACTTCTCTGCCAGGACTTCCTGCAATTTCTCCTGCCACCCTGCTTTACTCAGGCTGAGGGACTCCAGTGTTTCTCTAGGCCTGGGGAAACTGAAGACCCCCTTATGCTTTCCAGGCAAAACTTAAGTACAGTTTCTTATCTGTCCATTCACATGTGTCATCTATTGGATTGGGTGGGGGGGCACACAAAGTGTATAACTTCCTGCCCCTAAAGGTGTGTGTGTTTACCAGATCATAAATCTTTCCTAATCTAATTAAGACCAGGAGAATGTTTGCCTCCTTTTAGACATGAGGACTAGGAATCAAATATCCCAATAATACTCTCTCACTTTAGTTTCTGGCTCTGAGAAATGTCCTTCTCCCAACCATCTGAATAGTCAGGTGTTATTCTTACAGCCCCCTCTTTTAAAACATAAATTCCTCATTTGTCTAGAAGAGCCTGGTTTCTGTGCCTCAGAGAAGGTCCTTAAGGAAGATGAGTAAATAACTCATATCAAATGCTAATTTTTAGCCATTACTGTTCTTCAGCTTTTAGGCCTTGAACTTCTCTTAGGTGCCAAAGAAACTCATTCTTTATCACTTGAAAGTCATCATCATATTGAAAACCCTGGTCCTATTATAACATATAAAATACATTTAATATTAAATAGCACAATACATGCAAACATCAGGATAAGGATAAATACAGCTTGATACTGCCTATCTGTAGAGACTAAACATGGCATCTCTGTGAAGCAAATTCAGGAAAATATTCATGACACCCCATAATTCATGACACCCCATAAGACCCCCAGAGCAGAGTGGGGTTTGTGACACAGATAATTTTCACCCCGAGAGTAACTTTCATTAACAGCAACGGGGAAAATGTAAGTCTGAAAATACAGCTGTTCATAACAACTCAGCAGACCAACACACTCTATCTTGTTGTGGACAGGTACAAATATTATCATCGCTATTCTGCATGCACCGATTAGCTACTACAGCATGTTATCAGTGTCCTAGATATTTTGGAGTATATGAAAAGGTTGTTTTGGGGTCCCGTTCTGCTCACTCTGATCCCCAGAGCTCCAGATCTGAGGTCTCTCATCACATCTCTCCACTTTGCTAGCAGCATATTGTGGAACGCTCTTTTAAATGTGGAATTCTTGAGTCCTTTGAGGCTATGCTGCTGGTTAATTGGATGCATTTTCAAAATAAATAGTGTCTTTATGTTTTCAAATCCCCACGCCTTTTCTCACTTTTCCTAGCCCCATGGAAAAAGAATAGAAAATAATAGCACTTTTATGATGAGGTTTTGCACTTCTGGTTCAGCTCTACTTACTGATTTGTCAGAGCCAGCAGCCAGTGCTCCTGTTTACCTCTGACAAACATGAGAGCACAGAAAAAAAAAAGATGCTTTTGGAATGATATTGTGATGCAGTGATCACACACCAAATGCTACCTATCATTTCAACAGTTCTCTTGGCTCTATTTGCTTGGAGCTGTTTTAATTTCCTGCCAGCTCAGTGGCAAAATTTGTTGGCATTTTCTTAGGGATATTCTTCATCAAGAGCCTAATGAGTGCAAGCATTCTGGCTCATGATAAGCAGAAACCTGCCAGGAAAATGCCAGTAAGCTCACAAGTGATGAAAGGCTTGTTCGCTTGGCTTCCTAAGTCCTGCAAACAGTTCGCAGCAGCCCTCACAGAATCCGTTCTATAATTCTTTCATCATAGAAATACTGCATCTACTGTGATGATTCATGGGATTTAATTTGTGAAAAGAAATAAAATTGCATTTGCACAAAACTGGCTGCTAATTTAATACAGTACGAGAAGCTGAAACATTTCTACTTGTATCCAATGTTCCCTAAGCAAAGCTACTGGAAACTGATTAATTGAGAGAATCTACAATTTATTGATGATTTGGTGCAACTTATATCTCCAGCTACTGCATTTTTTTCTGGAATTTTCTGTGATTAAACTGAGTGATTGACTATCTCCAAGGATTTAGTCTTCATTTAATATCTGGGTCTTAAAATTACAAAAAGGTGGCAACAGATCATTATTAACACTGTAAAAAGAGTAACCTAATGCTCAGCATCTAGTTGAAACAGGACAATAATAAGTCAATGAGACAATGACAATCTATGCCACATTAAATAGCTCTCACATGAGAGCTATTGTGATGCATTTAATACAAACTGTCCGGACTTCCGTGGAAGAGGGTGGCAAGCAGGAACACCTTGCAGAGAGGTGCCTGGAGAGTTGTTTTGCTGACTCATCCTGTTGTCAGGTGCTGTTCTGCTGACTCACTAACTCCAGTGGATAGCTGTTCCAACCAGTGAATATAAAACTGTTTAGGGGTCTCATGAACGTAGAGAAATTTAAGGAAAATGGTGGGATCCTGCAGATAGAAACTCTAGACACCAGCCAGCTCAGAAGAAATTTAGACTGTTTTCTGCTTCTTTGTTATGTAAAAAGCAAAACGTTTTTGACTGATCAGAAAAAAACCCCACAGAATATAAATCTGACATATTACTGAGGCAATTCTGAGAGACACACAGGACAGGAGAACTGGAACCACAAAAAACAACCCTGAATTTATGCAGGAACACAAGTGTAATGCATAGCTCCTTGCAATGTCTCCTCCAGTTGTGAAAAACAAACCTTCATCCAAATAATATAGGTAGAAATTGCCTTTTCTGAACTGTCCCTCTGAAAAATGAAGTTTTTATTTTAGCAGCACATAAAAACTCTTGCAGAAGCTGAGTTTGTGTTGAATCAAAGTGAGGTTTAACAGCCTCAAACATTTGAAGGAATAAATCCCAGGCATGGTTTTCAGCAACTTCATGTCAGAGGTTGGAATACAGTTGTGGGCGTTCCCAATCCACAGGTGCTGAGGGGTTAGTGTATACTATTATCTTCTACCGTAATAGTCCTTTGTATTTGCAACAGAAACTAGGAAATTGAAATACCTTTCTCATAAGCCCACATCAAACAGGTTTGCTCATCTTTTTCTCCACTAGACCTGCTAGGATCACAGGCTACCAGATTCATATCAGCTCCATTATCCAGTAAAAACTGTACTAGACGAATGTGACCGTGGTAGCAAGCACAGTGCAATCCTAGAACATTAGAGGTGGAAAAGAACAGTCAGTGTGGTAAGTACAATTGTTACAACAACATAATAGGACTTGTAGCAATAGCTATGAAGCTTGAATTGATTTCCTTGATAATGGAATATATTATCACACAAATGATTACAGCACTGTAAGAAAAGAAAATATTATGCTATAAGAGCCAATCTATTGCCTGCCATACAGGACATGTTAGCACTTATTCCATTGCCTGCAAATCACTACAACAAATATAGGTTAGCAATTTTATTTGCTATAAATACAAAAAGAAAGAGGGATTTTTTTGCCTTTAATAAACAACAGGGAGATACACATTCTGGTGAGAATTCAAGTATATTGTTCTAGCATAAGCAGATCTCCTCTCTTTTTGACCCCCTGTTTTAATTTATCATCAGTTTCCCCCTCCTCGCTTTCCAAGCACTTTTCAGCTCCTCGTGTCTATGTTTCTGTCCCCACTTCCTTCTGCACACCCACCCATAGACCTCTCAGAACTGAGGTTTTCATCTCCTTATGCCACTCTTTGCATCTTTTCTCATGTCACCATGCTTAGCAGGAACAGCACAATTATACATAATTCAAGTGCATTCTGAAATTGCTCCTATTATATTCCAGTTGTAAAGGGTGCTTTTTATTTGTTTATTGTATTGTTACTGTTCAGTTTAAGATGTGATCCTTTTAAGTGCTCGATACCCTCAGCCACCTCTCTGTGTTACTGGGAGTTACAGATTCAAGTACTTTTGCAAATCTGGGCCTAAGTATTTAGAAGCCTAGCTACAAACGGTGAGAGAAATAGGGTAAATTATGCTGGATTCTGGGCTTTTCTTACTGGACTGCTAGTGATACCCAAGTTAGCTACATCACAACTACACTACACAGCAGCAGTGGCGACGCGTAGGGAGTGCATGCAGATGCACGTGCACACCCTGCATGTGGTGGAGCAACCCATGCAAAAAGACACTGCTGACACCAGCGGCGGCGCCTGTGGGTGGTCGCCACTTGCCACCCTAGCGTCTGCAGGTGGACCATGATTGCCCCTGGCCGCCGCTGCTGGTGGCGCCTGCGGTGGTCGCCAAACCCTGGTCGGTGCTCGCCACCCCACCCTACCACCAACCATGCCGGTGGCATCTGTGGGAGCTCCCTGCTCACTGTCACCGGGCTCCTGCTGCCTCCACTGGCCTCCTGCCACCGCCAGCACAGCCGTGCCCCCCCAGCTGCTGGGGGCATGCACCGTTCATGCACAGCAGTGTAGACATATTCTAGGAGTGCTCAAATCTCACTGAATTCAACAGGAGACTGAGCATCTGACTCCCATTAACTCCTCTTAAAATCTCAACCTAGACACTTTGGGCTTGGGAACTTGTTCTCTGTTGAGAACATCTAATGCTTACATATTAAGGATCATGATCATACCTGTATGCCCATCTCTTCCTTGATGATTGATACTTATAACATTCTGATCGAGAAGAAATTTTACAAGTTCTATGTTCTTACCATAGGTACAAGCACTGCAAAAGTAACACAGAAAGTGAATTCACCAGCCCCCACAACAAGCAAAATGAATTACCCAATGATTTCAAGGGAGTTACCCTGACATTAACTTGGTATAACAGAATGGAGAATCTTAATTTAAGTGCAAATGCAGGCTTAATACACAAACCTAAATATGTACTTTTCCACTCTTTTGGAAAGATCCTTATTATTATTCCCTTTGAGCTGCACACTATGTGGGCCACATGCTATGGGGGCAGCCCCTAGGATCCCACTTCCTCTTTCCACTGCATGGACAGTACCAGTGGCAGTGTCTGCACTCTGCCTAGGCTACATTGGCAATGTGCATCCATCCTGCGGTGTGGGCAGCATCAGTGGTATGTGAAACCCTTCTGGGTCCTCCCTCACCATACAGCTATGGAAGAGGTGGCCACAGGTGCTGCCAGTTTATCCCAGGATATCCCTGTTTTATGTTTTCATAAAAGTGTGGTGAAATCTTTGGAACAAATTTTTACATGAATTTTGACCTGCCAGCTTATTCTTGTCTATACATCTATGATAATGTCTATGTATCTAGAAGATCTAGAATGTCTAGGAGCCAGAGGGATTCTAGACTTGTGGTCCATGTTCAGATTCACTTAGGAGAAGGACAAAGACAGAAAAAGCAATAATTAATCCAGATGTAATGAACTTGTTGATATTTCAACATTTGTCCTCTCTCTTACATGACCTCTTTTGCTATAGTTCTCCACTGTCATTTAAGCAACACTAGACTCTGTCCTTGTCTCTGCTGCAGACATGAGCCTAGCATTCATACCTTGCCTGAAATCTTGGTCTCAGTCAGACTGTGGTAGAAGTTTTTGCATGCATCTGTAAGCAGAATTCAATGTCCTACCTGTGAAAAGCTGTTTCACTGAATATATTTTCCTTAGTCAGGCTTTCTGTTCCTGACAGATGAATTATTTCCTTGACAACTTCAAATTTTCCATTGTAACAAGCACTAAAGACAAAGTCAGAAAAGTGTTAAGTCAGAAAAGTGTTAGTAATGGAATTATTAACACCCTTAATACTGCCAATGTAAAACAATGCTTATTTCCACTACTCACAGATGTAATGGTGTATCCCCATAAATATTAACTACATGGGGCTGAACTTCAAAATTGCTTTGGAGCAGGAACTTGACTATTTCATGGTGTCCAAATCGACAGCAGAAGTGAAGAGGTACATGATCTTCATTGTCCTGTGCATTTACTGTCATTTGAATAAAAGAGAGAGAAAACAAGTAGTTTACACTCAGTCCAGTTTTTTTTTTTTTTTATTGTGTGCTTGTGCATATAAATGAAATCCCAGCAAAGTTAACTGGTAAAGCATATCTGGGCCTGATTTCTTATACTGGAAGCCAATGGGACGTTTTCCACTGACTGATACAGTGGATCAGGCCCTACAATCTGACTTCCTTCATAATAAATCACCAAGGCCATTTTCTTGTAATCATTCAGAATGTAATTAGGTTTGCAACACCAGATTTTTGGCATGTTTTGATGGCATTTTCAACAAAGAAAAGTAGGAGGTATTAATGAGCCAATGACCCTTGGAAAGTGGTATTACTGTCAGTGTATTAACAATATGAAGAAACACTCTGATCCAAAGTTACTATGCACAGGAAAACAACCCTCTGGGTAATCTCAAGTAAATGGAGCAAAATTCATTCATTAAAAAATGGGAAGAACAATCTTTCAATGCTGTTCCCTGGAGTGGAAAATTCAGTTACTTTTAAAGAATATATTAGCTTCATTAAGTACCAGGAAGTGGCCAAGAGAACAAAGGGCAGTTGCAGAAGACCCCCAAAAACATGAATACAGGAGATACAAGGAAAGATATATTCTACTAAATACATTAATAAACATTCATGACCCTCCTCCTCCTCCTCCAGATATTCAGAAGAGATTACAAGAAAGCCTGTAGTAAATGATTCTCAATCAGAGTGCTATGGGACCCTGTGCGGCCCTGGCCTGCCATTAGATTTTGTATGGGTGCTGCACAACACTAGCATTGTTATGTATGCTAACATCTACACGTGATTCATAAGGTAAACCCAGAGATTTCAAATAGGAATCTAGAGCGTCAAAAACATTCTGACCTGTTGGGGGCTTTCTGAGTTCTTTGCAACAGAATAAATGCTCTATTATTTTTCTGTAACCAAAAAATGAGTAAAAGCCATAAGATGGCATTTTCCTAGGGAGTGCCTTGAGTCTAATGAGGGTGCCCTGAGTCTAATGAGGGTGCCCTGTATCACTATGGTAATAGATCACTATGGAATAATCTATATGTATAGCTGAAATTTCCTCTTAACCCTTTGAGTCAGCAAGTGTTTCATGTTATGAAGGTTTCCATACATTCTTGTTTCAGAGCCCATCTAAAGAACCCATTGCCTGTAAACAAGTCTAAGAATTCTTTGAATTCTACTAAAATTTTGGCTTTAACGATATTTTGTGGCAGTGAAATACACGGGTGAGTTATACAATGTAACTAGTAAGTCCTTCTATCAGTATTAAGCTTGTGTCTTTAAATTTCAGTGACTATCTCCTTGTCATCATCTTCTAAGAAAGGGTAAAAGAAAGAAACACAGACCTTTCTGTGTATTATTTTATGTACCTGTAATATATAACCTTTATATTTTTATTACAGTGTGGTGCCAGAGGCTGACTCATTCTGAAGTGGTATGAAGAAGAGGAAATAATTGTTGAAGTTCATTCTACATTTGCTGTTTAAAGACTTGCTGTTGGATAAGGTAATAGAATAGCTGGAAAGCCAGAGGTACTTTACTGATTCCAAACCATCAGAAAGCATAGCACAAAGAGTTAAGGAGCACAGCCCCCCCACCCCCCCAATTTATTCACATTGGGGAATGATGATGAAAATATACATAAAGACTTGCTGAGGAAACATATATAACCCCTCCCATTGCTTTTAAAAATGATGATAACCCTTTCATTTGCAAAAAGAATGTAACAGGAAAAACCCAGAAAAGAAGTAAGAAAGCCTTTGTAGAAGAGCTATAAGAAATAAGTAGAGCACTTGGCTGTGACATCAGTAAGGAAGATTATAACAGAGAACTTCTAGTATAAGAATCTTGGAGTTGAAATTTTAAATTTTTACAAAACCATAAGAGATATTTGAGTTAACCCTGGAAGAGTTAGTGCTGCTTGCACAGCAGACTCCAATCAGAAAGGAGTTAAACAGCAAGAAAGCGGTAGAAGCTTAGTACAAAAACAAGCAAAGACATTCCTAAATGGGACACTTGAAGCACCATAAAAATGACCTTTAAGACTATCTAGATACTTGGAAAGGTGAGACAATTTCCAGCCATCAAAATCATAAGAAAGGACAAAGGGAGCATGTTTGCCAAAGGAAATGGCCCACACAAGAGAGAGCAATATCTATTTGCAGGAGTCTGTATTCCAGGATGGTACTGATGCACTGTTAATCTTCATATGAGGCAGTTTAAAAATGACTTAATTGGCAGGGCTGAATATAACTTAAATAGATACATTTCGGGGTATAGGCTGCCACTTTGGATGTCGTTGGTGGGGAAAGATACATTTATTGTGATAATTTGAAGTTGATAGAAGCTATAAAAGCAAAGAATCCATATTTTAAACCATTATGGGAGGAGTTTCAAAGATACAGTCTGCAGACCTGATCCTACTCATGGAGCCCCATCAGCTGAACCCCAGTGCTGCCCCTGGGTTTTGAATTGACCCACACACCACATGCAGCGTGTGCAAGACCAGCCCAGTGCCCAGGGCCTGGGATGTGAGCTGCACGTGGCACCCACTCTGGCCAGTCCAGAACTGCACTGTACATAGTGCTGCCCCTGCCAGTCTGGAACTGAGCTGCACATGGTACCTGCTGTGGCGGGTCCAGGACCTGCACTGCGTGCAATGCCAGCTGTTTCATGTCTTGGATCCAGTATGTTTTGAGGTGAGAGGGGAAGGGAAGGACAGTGGGCCCGATCTAGCCCATGGAGCTACTCCTAACCCATTCATCCAGCCTTTGTAGTGGTACCAAGCCACTCATCCAGTCTGTAGGGCCAAATGAGTTTGACACACCTGCATTATGACTTTAAACACTAAATAATCTGCTAGAGCAAAATATGAAGCACGCTCTATATGTGCTTCATAGAATGCAGAATAAAAGAGAATGCAACTATCTGTAGACAGAAAAGGGACATCCTTGTCTCATAGCCATTGATCATTTTTTACCTTTGTACAGATTCTACTTCTTACTAGACATAGTCTATTACAAAACAGATGACAGATTTTCATTTTTCACCTAAAATTGAAACTAATCAAGTTTATTATCCAGGCAAATAACACTGATGATTCATCCAGGTCTAAAACTTGTTGCTAAGTATTACTTTCCGTTAGAAATTGTCATTGAAAAAATGATGTGAAAAATATGAGTATATATATGGTCATTTCTTTAAATCTGTAGCAGGATGAGAGATAGAAGGAGGTGAGAAAGTTGCAGACAGAACTTACTGCAAAAGTGAATGAGAAAATGTTATTTTGGAATAACACTGCTTTTATTCTAAAACATAAACTTACCAGTTGCTTGCTAGGCAAAAAAAGCAGTTTTGTGATTTATCATTGTCACATAATAAAAGTATTGATTTGCATGAATAGTATTGCTGATTAAACCCTACGCACATGAATAAGGATGTCTCATATGAGGAAGTATTCGTGGACTCTAGAAATCAGGGAGATGTCTTTTATCCGAGTTGAGAAGTATTTTCTTCTATCACACTATTTTATTTGGATTTTATGAAATAACTGAACTCACTTAGAAATAAGGTAAGAATAAATAAGAATTGTTATGGGATGAATAATGCTAATCTAATAGTAAAAGACTAAGAAGATAGAGGGCAGGAAGGAAAACAGATAAAAATGAGATTTGTCATGACAAATTGATCTCAGCAACTGGATATTCTCAAAATTCAATAAATTTCAAGTGCTATCAGTTCATAATGGCAAATTAAACTTAAGCATGTATTATGGGTCTAAAAATGAATTGAGTTAAAAATAATTTGATAAAAATATACTATTACAATATTTCCAGAAAAAAAATGTTTTATTTATCTGGTCATTGAAGTAAATGCTCCCTTTTGAAAGTGTTCAGATTCAGATGACAAGTGTGCATATTGCAACAGTGCTCATACTGGTTTGCTCAAACCTAAACTAATCATGGGATTAACATCTGGAGAGAATGAACTGAATTTTTTTGTTTGTAGATTATAATATAAAATGTGTTTATAATATAAAATATATCGACATGAATTTCCACTTCTTTGTGACAAGGATGAAGCTAAACTCGTGTTTAAATTAATTCTTGATGGATCTGAATGAATTCAAGTCAGTAGAACCTGATGAGCTTCATCCCACTGTACTGAAGAAACTGACACACGAGATCACTGAGCCCTTGGCAATAATATTTAGAAACTTATAGAGGAGAGATGAAGTACCAGAGAACTGTAAAAGGGCCAACATAGTGTCTCTCTTTAAAAAAGGCAAACAACAGGATCCGGGGAACTATAGATTTAGTTAGCCTCACTTTGATATCTAGGAAGTTATATCATAATGAATTCAATATGCAATCATCTGGAGAAAGAACAGTCAGTATGGGTTTGGTAAAGATTTGGCAAAAATCTTGCCAAACAAACTTGATCTCCTTCTTTGACAAGATAACTAGTTGGGTGAATGAATGGAATAGATGAAGGGAATCTGTGGGTACAGTGAATCCCAATTTCAGTAAGGCTTTTGACGAAGTCCCACATGACCTTCTTATAAACAAATTGGAGAAATGTGGGCCAAAGTTACTACAGATTTCCCTCATTTTATGCAGGTTCTGTATGCCCGAATTTACTCTTATGATATGACCCTTTTTATACCAAAAAATTGTTATATGCAAGGTAAATTCACTCTTATGTGATCAGTGTGATAGAAGTCTGCAGTCAGTTGTTTTGTATGGTGCATTGAGGGAGTGACACCATAGACCAGGGAGTAGCGCCATGTGCTGCCCCCTGGACAACTCCAGCCTCTCACTCGCCCCTAACCCCAAGGGGCTGGTGCTGTGGAGAAGCCGGGCACAGGGCTGTCCCTGGGCCAGGGTCTTCATAGTGGCACCACCCTCATGCCACCCCTTCCGTGCAGTGCTGGCAGTGGGGGAGGTCTCTCTGTGGGCACAGCACT